TTACATTGAGATGATGTAAGAAAATAATATTGCATATTTTTGCATTAAAAAATTTGTATTTTGTCAATAGCACATAAATAAAACTCTCAAGACTCCATCTGGTATGTACTGTACATTTATAAAAAATGATTGAATTAAATATTATCGTGAATCCAAAGTTCGTTGACCCAAAACTTTTATACTTTGATACATTCGACTTAGACACCTAGGAGCAATTATGATGCACCGAATAATTAACAACTCATATGTTCATCCTCTAAAAAAATAAAAGATTCTTTTACCAGATGAATTTATATGTACTATTTGTTTATAAGACAAGTTAGTCATTAGACTTTCCACTACAAGTTCAATGTTAAATCTCCAACTTAGTGAACATCTGATTGCTCATGTTTATATACAAAATGGTTTAACAGAGTTGTTAATTAGACATCTACTAATTGTTAGACCATTATTTATGAAAATATAATTCCCAACTTTTGTTTGAAATCATGTCATATTATATGCTACATCATTAGTTTGTACAAGGTTAATTGTTTATAACAATACTCACCATTACAACTTGCATTTGATCACGAACCTAACATTTCTCGTCTACGAGTCTTTAGTCGTGTTGTCAAAGTCTCAATTTCACCCCACAACATACTAAAGTGAGTCTTCAAGGAAACTTAAATTTTATGTTGGTTTTGATTCACCATCCATTATCATGTTCCTTGAACCTTTAACGAATTATTCATTTATTGTATGTTTTGTAAATTGTCATTCTGATGAATCGATTTTTCTAACTTTGAAAGGGCAAAACTATATTCTGGTAAAATTAATTGTACCAAAACAACTATATTTCACTTTAATTCTCGCAACAACTAATGTGAAAAATATTTTGAAAAAATTATTCACATATAAAGAGTTGAAAATTAATTATTGGATGTTTTTATTGATACCAAGAAAGTGTAAAAATTATATATTCCAATAAAAAATAATTCAACAAAATACGCCGGAATCTCACTTGCGTATCAAATTTTTTTCCCACCCCTTAATTCTTGCTTACTCAAACAAGACGAACACATGTCAC